TTTTTAATTTAAATTTTAGTTAACGTACAGTGCGATATTGATTTCTGAAGTATAATTCAGTGATTCATCACTTACATACAACACCCAGTGCTCATCAAAACAAGTGCCCTTTTTAATATCCATTACCCATCTAGCCCATCTCTCACACTTCTAAAATTACTTAAGAATAAATCACAATATATTTTCTATTTAAGTATACTTCTCTTTCTCTGTAAATATTTATATTTATATATACATATGTATTTCAGTCACATTTTAAATGCACAAAGACAGAATATTCATATTCAGTATTATACATTGGTATGCCTGTACCCATTGTTTTATATGTATTTGTATGTGTTGATAGATATTAGTATATAATATGTACTATATCGATATATTATATTTATATATTTTCTCTATATATAGTATCAATTATATTAGATGTTATATAAATTAGAGGTAATTTAAAAGTGGAGATAACATTGCTTTATAAATTAGAAATGACTTTGCTTGGTTATTTACTTTAACCTGTATGCCACTAAATAGTTATTTTTATTACTATATTTTTAATTAACCCTCCTGCTAAGCTTTTATTTTTTATAAGGAAAGGTTTTCCCTGCATCACATAGTTGCAATTTTGGTAGTATAATTTAGGCAAATTGAATTATAATATTCAATATCTGTGCCTTTTCTCTTGGTCTTCTACACATTCACCTGTGAAACCCAGAGTTACATTCAATACCATTTCCAGAGTATGCTAATACTTCTAACCGGCTGAACACATCCATTGTTTTTATATGAGATTGTAGACCACCTGAGGAGCATGTTATGTCATAATTTTCTAGTCCATAGGAACAATATTCTTTGGCGAGAAGCATTTCAAAAGATATTCCTAGAATGAATGAATACACACACACAGACACACACACACACAATTTTTTTAAGGTCTTCACTGTTTTACCAAACTGTTTCTTATATTGTTTATTTGAGTTCTAAGTGACATTTTCTAAATAAAATTTGACTTCATATTGTTCACTAAGTCAATTTGATTTTTGTACAGGTGGAGGTTTCTTTTATACACTTGTTTATTTATTAATGTCTTTTGATAGTAACTTCCCATAAGTCAAAGAGATAATTTGATTTATTAAAAAAGGAGCCTGATAATATTTTTACCATGTTACAAGATATTATAATTTTACAAAGTATCCATTTGCCCTATAAAAGGTTCATCCTGATATTGTATTCATTAGTATATTCCTTTAAAGTAATTTGATACAGTTTTTGAGGTTTTCTATTTAACACTGTGTCAATATATTTAAGGTACATAATATATGCAACTTGAATAGCATAGCTCCACAAATGTGTATGCAGTTATATAATTAATGTATTTATAGCCCTTACTAAAATACTTAGTTGTTTCTGATCAAAAAGTTATACAAATGAAGGGGTGCCTGGGTGACTCCATCCGTTAAGTATCCGACTCTCAGGCCATAATCTCAGGATCCTGGGATCGAGCCCTGCAGTGGGCTCCCCGCTCAGTGGGAAGTCTGCTTGTCTCCCTCTTCCTTTGCCTGCCCACCACCCCCCCACCCCGGCTCACACACATACACACTTTTGCTCTCTCTCAAATAAATAAAATCTTTTTAAAAAAAGTTATACAAATGAAATTAAGTGATACATACACAAATACAACCAGGAAATAAAGGCTACTAATAATCTAACCCTAGCCAATCATCTAAATATTTTTTTTCTATTTGTTTAAATATTTTAGTCCATGGGTTTGTGTGCATTTACACTAGGAGATGCAATATATTCGTTTTCATAACATGAAAGAATATTCTTACAACCTTTGGTATAATTAAATACTACAGTTTTTACAACTATACATTATTATTTACAACTACATATTATACATACTATTTAGTCATTCACTTTTTGCCAATAAAAGTAACATTAAGGTCAATAGACAGGGATATAATTCTTTGGACACATCTCTGATTATTTCCATGGCAAAGTTCTATAATCAGAATTGCTAAGTCATTGAGAATTACTTCTTTTATGCATATTGCCAAATTGCTATTCAGAGCTTTTATACTATTTTATACTTATACTAACAGTGTATAAGACTTTCAATTTGGTAGTATCAAGTAAATTCTTCTACTTCATCAGCTGTTAGACTTATTATTGTTGAAAGATCTACCAAGCTATCTCTTTCTTTTCAATTTGCTTTATAGCGTGGGCTATTTTGAGGCTATAAATTAAATGATGTAAAGTCTTATCTCATGATCTAAAAAAACCTTTCATCTGAATCTGAACTCATGAGATCCAAATTCTAGGAATTGCCCTCTCCCCAAAAAATGTGAGCAGAGTTTAGTCAAGAAAGATTATATTCCCCATTCATTGGAACATTTCTCAAGTTAGGCTTATTTAGATTTATTATAATACTCTTAGCTGGTCACCACAACAATTTAAGGACAGCAAATCAAAAACGAGGTGAGGTGGCTTCCATAGGCAAGTGCTTAGGAAAAAATGAACTAGTGTAATAAAGAAGGCTCCAAAATTTAGGGGCCTAAAGAACAGAGAAATTTATTTACCTTTTATGTAATGGTCACAGATAAGATCACAGATTATGTAATGATCACAGATATGTAATGATCCAGATTTGGTGGGAAGTTTTGCCTTACTATATCATTGAAGGACCTAGACTATAACTCTGTTACTGAGAAGGAAAGAGGGAATTTGATATTTAAAAGTGTCCATCCTAACAAGCAATACCAACAGGAATGACTATTAGGGAAGGGAGAAACAGAACCTTTGGAAACAAGAATATTGAAGTCATTCAGTGAATGATTAACTAATCCTTTGTCAGGTGTAGAGTTTGATTTTACCTTACCTACACACTTGTAACTTAGCTTGTTACTGTTTCATGCAGTCTGGCAGAATGCACATAACTCCTGGGTCAGAGACAAATCATTTTATTAGCCACAGCACAGTAAGCAGTATGAGCATCATATTTGCATTGGTCCTCCTTGTCTTCCAAATCCCATAGAGACACAAAACAGTCCCGACGGATGCTCCTCACACTGTGGGTTTGCCGCATAGCTCCAGAATATTCATCTTGGGGAATCCATTCTTTCATAGCAAGCAGGAGGCAAGCCTGTTCTGTGTATTCAGAGGAGACATTACCTTATTCCTCAGGATGGCATGCTACAAACACAACTCTGAGAAATGGCTTCTGTCAGTAACTGTCAGGGCCTTGTATTTTTGGCATACCCAGCAAAATATATAGGAATATGAGACACCAGTGAAGGGACTGTTCCTTCCAACACCCATGGCACAGTAGCCTCTGTAGACATGTGTACAACAAGCAAATGTTCTAAAGAATGTGAAAATTACATTCAGCATGGGGAGATTCTTGATATCCTCTACTTAAAGTTTCAAATATTCTCTCTGCCAACAGGCACCTTCACAAATAATTATGGGTATATGAACATCCTTTGGAGGGACTGTAGAGCCATTTAGCGAAAGAGAGAAAAGATAGATGGATTAAGCAGAGTGTTATTTACTGAAAACTGATTTCTATATTTTATTTCCCCATGGCCTATTCTCAATTGCTGAGTGAGACAGAGGACCTTTCTTAAGCATATATTACTATTGTATATTATACCAGAAATTCATGTAGCTCAAGGGACATATCTTTTGGAATGAATACTACTGAAATGGATGAATCCTGTTCATTCATCTTTTTGTGATAATTATTTGAATGATAGCAATACTCAGCTGTCAGTGGCTTCAATAAGTGGGAGGCCTAATGAAGAAGAAAGAATTTTGTTCATGTAAGTTAGACATGAACTTCATCACTCACCTGCTCTTCTATCATAAATCATGATTTATTATATTTTGGTATCTGCAGGAAGTGGTGTGGTTGCTTGTTAAGAGCAAGAAAGTGAGTATCAGAGGCTCTGTGTTTACTTTTGGCTCTGCTATTCGGTGACTTTTGACAACTCAATTCCATTTGATATTTGGGTCATAAAGATTCTCTAGAATCAAGTGAGATATAATGATGAAAGTCCTTTCTAAACTGTAAAGCGTTTCACAAATATTTAATTACCAAGAATTATGCACGCTAGAGCTTTTCTCTGTTAGAGGAGACTGAAGAATATTCTCTCTCAATGCCAGGGGCATAATATAGCTCCTAATCTGAACAATTTTGATCATCCTATATCTACTTTTAGAAGGTTTAATTAAAAAAAAAAAAACCATTTCAGTCTCTTGGAAACTCTGCTCATGTGGCTCACTTTATTATCTAACCATGTTGATAAATTAAAAATATTTTATTCAGCATTAAGTCTAAAAGGGTGGATTTGCATTTTATTGTCTTTTTTATTGATGACAATAGTGATACCATTGGCAAATATAGGAATGAGTGGCTAAAGGGGGAAATGCTTGGTTTTATATGGTAAAGCACACTTGGAATAGGGCATAGAAGTTGAAAAAAGGTGGAAAATATTTACAGGGTGGTATCTGTTTGTGTGTATGTATGTTTGTATGTTTGTGTGTGCACAATACAAATGTTAATCAAAACTCATTTTCCTCCTTTAGCTTTTTGAAAATGTTACAATTGCTATGAAAACAAAATGAAAGAGATGGCAATATAGCTCATTACTTTTTTTAAATACATAGTAGCATTATGTACTCCTGTTGACTTATTCACAGTAGTTCCCAAATAATATTCTTGTCTTTTTACTATCTCCTTTATGTTTACTTTAATTAACCACTCTAATGGTTGATTGGCAATGATGGAAGTTGCCAGAGAATCATAAAATATTTCAGCTGGAAGTGACTTTAAGGATCATATACTATAAGAGATAAGAAAGTAAAGTCCACATCTGTATGGTGGTTTAAATTCTTAAGATCATTCCTTCTTTTCTTACTTGTAGCAGTTCTCGTAAACTCTTATGTGTTATCTTAGAGTTTTCTAAGTATTTTAAAGCAATAACATCTCATTCGCTTTTTAGGTAGTTATTAGGAGTAAAAGTGGAGAGATCTTGTATCGAATTTCACCATGGGCGAAGTATGTGACTCGTGAAGGTGATAATGTGAATTATGATTGGATACACTGGGATCCAGAACACCCATATAAAGTGAGAACAACAAATCTTTAAATAAATGCTTGTTCCAATATTTCTAGGAAAATTAATTTTTACTTTTATAACTTTTATAGTAATGTTCAACTTCTCTCTTCACTGCCAGTTTTATATTTTACATCATAGTGTACCTGATATACATATATCAGAGTCCATCATCTGTAGCCAATAAAATATAGAAGTGAGTTCTTGTTTTATCATGTGTTTCTGAGGTTAGGAGGGAGAAAGAAATCTCTACATACTGACCTGAAAGGGATACTGTTTTTTTTTTTTAATCACAGTTTCTGATTCATCACAGATTCTTCAGTGATACAGTATTTCTCATTGTCATTGGTTTGAAGCAGGGTCCCAAAGGCCTTAGGAACAAGGCATAGGGAAGATACCTCATGAATGTACTATTTAGGGTTATTTTTAAGGCCGTATTATTGTCAAGGTTTATATGTATCTTTGAACTCACTTTTTTGTCTTGTAAGTTATTGGAGCTTGTTGATAAATGCATTGCATTTAATAATTATGTATACATTTTAAGCTGTTGTGTTTTCTCTAAGGCTCAATGATAAGGCATAAGCCATTTCATGATTACTCTTTTAAAACAGATACATTAACATGATCCCAAAAAGGAATTTCTTTTCAAGAGAAAATTTAATGGATATAGCCAAATGCCTTTTATATGCGAAAGCAGTTCCATACTATTTGAGTTGATTCACCATTTCATTTAACATGCTTAATCAGTTAGTATCATACCTGTATTTCTGATCTAATTCTTTATATAATTTTATATTCTGTAGTTTAAGCATTCTAAACCAAAGAAGCCAAGAGGTCTAAGAATTTATGAATCTCATGTGGGAATTTCTTCCTATGAAGGAAAAGTAGCTTCTTATAAACATTTTACGTGCAATGTACTACCAAGAATCAAAGACCTTGGTAAGTAATAACTGTGATTTTTATTCAGATAAAATTTTAATGAGTCTGTTCTCTTATTAGAAAAGCTAATTACAAGTGTCTCTTTTTTTGTGTTAAGAGATTAAATATGTAATAGAAATGCATTTTATTTTAGGCTTCTCAAATTGCCCTGTAATAGTGATAGCACAGAAAAGAGAAATGGAATAAGATAGAGCATAAGAATTCAAGATATTATTCCAATTTCAATTTTAAGTAATGTGAACTGATGGCTTCCAAATTGTAGATAAATATGTAAGCATAATTACTTTTCTACAGGAAAGAACTTTTATCAGTTTAAGTGGTCATTGATTATAGCCTGTTCATTTTAGTCTGTTAGGGAAAAAAATCTTATATTTTTTTAAGGTTACTGGAACTCATTTTGACTCTGATACAAATGTGTATGTGTGTATATATACACACATGTCTGGTCTGGATGACTTATTTGACAGATATTTATGGTGCATCTTTGTTCTAAGACACATTGTTCTAGATATTTGTATGTTGGACTGTAATGACACAGATCCTTGTCTTCATGGGAACAACCAGGAAAGTTAATAGTGTACTGCTGAATTATTGATTCAGTGTGCTTTAAATTTGTTATTTTTCTTTTTATTGGTAATGCTTTTTTATCATTTTACAGCATATTAGCACCTGCTCCAACAGCTAGGCAGGAAGATAAAGTACATTTAATTATTCTGCTTCTGGTAGGCATTCCAAACTTTGGCTAGAAGAAAGGTTTGCAACTCACTGTTAAAGTTCTGTTATACATGGATCTTAATTGTCTGTGATGATGAGGTCAGATTCCAGAAACCAGAATTAATTAAATATATGAAGAATTTAATATTAATTGTATTTAATAGGTATTATATTTAAATTGTCATATTTGGGATGTTCTGCCATTTCATACTGTAATACATTGTTTATGACCCAGGTCTTGCAGAAGGTTTGACAGAACAAGGATTCCCTTGTTCATTGTTGTGTTTCAGTTGAATAGCACAGAACTCTGAACATCAATGAATCTAAGAATGAGTAATGCTATAAAATTAATAATAAAAACTATAAATCGGTGCTTGATCATGAGAATAATATTTATTTCATAATAGAGAAATAAACTATAAACTCTGTATTTTGTTATAAAATATATAATTGATTTATGTTACCTGAGCAGCAGTTTATATACATATTTCTATCATGATAGAAATGTGATAGAGTTAAGATTGTTTTTATAATGAAAAAGCCAAAAGCAGATTATGAACCATAGTTTATATTATTCTTTAAACATGAATCTCTAAATCTGAATGTGACTTTGCAATTATTCCACTATTAACTCAGTACTGAAATATGTACAGGAGAAGCTATACTGACATGAACTGGACTTTGAGAACAGAGTATTTTCTATGTGTGTTAGAGAAATGGAACTTTCAAAGCAGTCAAATCATATTTGAAAATTTTACCAAATTTGAAGGAAAACAATGTTTCCTTATTCTTTTAAAGATCAAAAGTTTCTTCTTCTTTGATGATTTGCTTATATTAAAAACATATTAGTAAATGCTTTTAAGGTTGTGTGTGCCCATGTGTGTACACAAACAGCTTTGAAGTCCTTGTATAGGCATAGAAATTGCAGCAAGTAGAAGAATTAATGCCGGCTTTTAAAAGCTACCTTGTGGAAAAGTGGATTTACTGGGATATCCTATGTTATATGGCACAAATAATTAAAACATAAAGAAAAAGGTAAAATAAAAACTATATGGCATGCAACTGGTTACTTTTATTTTATTTAGCTTTCATAGTCTTCAGTATGAATATTACAAGTGCAGCTGAAGTTTAGCATATATAGATTGCCATCTTTAATATTGTAAAGTCAAATTAAGAGTATATTTGCATATCACTTATTACTTGTTAAAAAGAAGACATTTCAAATAGCTAGTTAGAGTACGACCCTCAAGAACTAACTGTCCGATTTTGTGTTAGAAGGTCAGACAAGCAAAAGATATTAAAGTAGTAGAACTTTTCAAAGTGATCAGATCATTTAGATGTAAATGATCATATGTAAAATTTAATGTCTTCAGAACAAGGATGCTGTGTTTATATATTTTTTTCCTTTCTTTTTTTTTAAATGTTGCTTTTAATCTCTGTTTGATCTTTCCTTGTATAGGATACAACTGCATTCAGATGATGGCAATAATGGAGCATGCTTACTATGCCAGTTTTGGTTACCAGATCACAAGCTTCTTTGCAGCTTCAAGGTAAAATGAAAGTCCCAATTCTAACCATTTTATTTGAGAAAAAAAATAAAATGAATTTTTACCTTTTATATGATATTGTTTTGTAACCTAATTTAGAGTTAACAGAGTTAACAGAAGCTGAGCTTTTTTTTTTTTTTTTTTACTAAGATCATAGACTCTCTTCCCATCAAGCCTTAGAGGTTGGACATTGCTTTTCATGAAATGATTTCTGGTAAAGAATATCCAGTTAACCTGCTGAAATTGTCATGCATTTGGATGCCCAAGTCTTAGTCAGAAAATCACGTCTCATGGAAGTCATTATTGCCAGAGCTCACATCCTTTCCTGGAAAGAGATTGGCTATGTAGGAATGTGACTGAGAAGGCTCTTAGTAGGACATACTACCACAGAAGGATATCCTTTCCAGGCTAAAATCCAAGAAATGTGACTCTCTGGCCAGAAAGACACCAAGGAGTCCATGTAATTGAAGAAGTGCTGACCTAAATGACTGCAAGTTGAATAAGTCCAACATTGTCTCCACCTCATGGAGCTCACACTGTTGTGGCATATAATGTTAATCCAGTAATCATACTTGTTGATTTCTACCCATGATAAAAGCTAAGAAGAAAACGACAGGGTGCTATAAAAGCCTAGAATGAGGGATCTGATCAGTTTAGATTAGATCTGAACTGATGTTGGAACTGAGATCTAGAACATAATTAAGAGTGAACTGGGAGGGGGCTCCTGGGTGGCTCAGTCGTTAAGTGTCTGCCTTCAGCTCAGGTCATGATCCCAGGGTCCTGGGATCGAGCCCCCAATTGGGCTCCCTGCTCAGCGGGGAGTCTGCTTCTCCCTCTGCCCCTCCACCTCGCTCATGCTCTCTCTCTCTCTCTCAAATAAATAAATAAAATCTTTAAAAATAAAATGAAAAAAAAAAAGTGAACTGGGAGGAGGGGTGAAGTGGGAATAGGGAGATAGCTTTCCAAGCATAGAGAAAAGATACTGATCCTTTTCCCTGTTTCTCTTTATAGTCATTCCCCTTGAATAAATTACCTATATTTATAATCTCTGAATCCTTCATTCCTCTTCTTGCTTGAACTCGTTCCAGGTAGGCTCTTCACCTATTCATTGAAATTGCTCTTGTAAAGTGTACTGATGACCTCCATGCTGTTAAGTCCACTGATCAGCTATTAACTTGCTTGAACTGTCTGCAGCATTTGGCACAATTAGTTACTTGTACCTTTTTAGGACATTTTTCTTTCCTTGGTTTTCAGGAAACTATTATCCTCCTGTTTGGGTTTTTCCTATCCCTCTTGCTGCTTTTTGTTTATTTTTTAAAATTTCCTTTGCTTTTTCTGACCCCTAAACATTGGACCTCCAGGGCTTAGCCCTTGGTTCCATTTTCTTCTGTGTATGTATGACATATATTGGGGGTCCCATCAAGTGTCATCCCCTCTTACGGCTTCAATACACTTCACATTGTACTGGACTCTTCCCTTTCTGTCCAGACATTCCTATACTCTAGCTCCACCTTGTATCTTCAAAATGTATCCCAAATCTGGCTTCTTCAACTGCCACCACCCTGGTCCATGTTGCCATTATCTATAACCTGGATTATTTCAGTAGCCTTTTAATGGGTCATTCTGTTTTCTCTTGTTCTCCTACCCCTTCCCTAGCCTTCTCTCCCTCCATATACATGGCTACTCTCTGCATAGTGACAAGAGTAACCACTTTAAAATAAAAGATCATGTTACTCTCTTGCTCAGAACCTTCTAATGATTCCTTATCTCTTTCAGGTAAAAGTCAAAGGCTTTATATTGGTCCATTAAGACCTCATGTGATCTGGGTCTTGGCTGATTCTCTAATCTCATCCCTTTATTGATCATTCCACTCTGGCCACACTAGCCTATTTGCTTTTCTTCCAAGTGTTCCTAGCTTATTTCCCCAGTGCCCTTTCTTTCTAAACATTCTGTCTTTTAGATGTTCACATGCCTCACTCCCTTCTTCTTCCAGGTGTTCCTACGAACGTTGCCTTCTTCATGAAACTTTCACTTGATAACCCTGTTTAGAATAGCAAACCCGCCCTTTCCACCAGCGGCTTTGCTTTGTTTTTCTTTAGAGAAGTTACTGCTATCTGACATCCCCCATGTTTTGCTTATTTATTTGTAGTCCTCCAAATAGAATGTAAATTCCATAAGGGCAGTGATATTTATTTTGTTCACTGCTGAATCCCAGAGTATAGAAAATTTCATGACACATGGTAGATAGCTTAATAAGTATTTGTTGAAAAAACAAATGAATGAAATTTTAAGGCTATTTATTCTCTGAACACGCTGTTCACTGAGTAGAAAAAGAAAAGGCTAGGTGGCTGCAATAAGGAGAGAAAGGGGTAAAGTGTCATAAATCTAAAGTTATTGGAAGGAGCCAAATTAAACAATGCAGTAGGTCATGATAAGGTCCACAGTCTTCATCCTAAGGACAACGGGGGTGCAAGTATGATTTTAGTAAAAATGAAATGATCACATTGCATTTTTCAAAGACAGGTCTTGCTGCCCAGTGGAGTTAGCTACCAGGAGACCTGCTATATACTAAGGACTGTACTGTATCGTGGGAAACCAGATAGTCACAAGTGAGGAAGTGAGACAGTAATAATCACAAGGGCAATTAGGTGATTATTTAAAAGCAAAGTTGATCCTATGGAAGGCCAATATTGAGATTTTACATCAGTTAAGAAAAGCCTTCCCCCTTAGGAGTGATTTGTTTTCTATTTCATGCAGACAAGAAAACTGCCGTTAACACAAACACCTGTGCCTGTGAGCTACCCATGTTTTCTGCTTGGGTGGTGACAGACATGGCACATTCTCTCGGCCTTCTGGCACCTGGGGGCATTCCAGTTTGGGAATAAGTAAGTGCAAGAGGGATGGTCTCACTCAAGGCACCAAGGATATTCAAAGAAATACTCTAAGAGCCCCCCAACCCTGAGCATACACATTCACAGGGATGGCCAAGTATATGAACAGGGATGACAATGCTGTCCGGACTAGGTAGGCTTGGAGAAGGAAATCAGAAGCTCTGAGTATAGAGAAACAAAATTCACTGCCTACCTACTCAAAATGTGAATTTTCACTGGGATGTAAATCTACATGCAATAGCTGGATTTAAATTACTATTTTTTTTTATTGGATGCCTTTATAGAAAATATTATGCCACATTGACTTGTATCTAAGTATTATATCATATTGAATTTGCATATTTAAAGTATCCAGTACTGTACTGGTAAAGCAATTGATACACAATAAATGATTAGTTGTTTGCTTTAAATATGATACAGTTTTGTTTTTGCTTTATTCTTTACCTTTAGCCGTTATGGAACACCTGAAGAGCTAAAAGAACTGGTTGACACGGCTCACTCAATGGGTATCACAGTCCTCTTAGATGTGGTACACAGCCATGCTTCAAAAAATTCAGAAGATGGACTGAACATGTTTGATGGGACTGATTCCTGTTATTTTCATTCTGGACCTAGAGGGAACCATGATCTTTGGGACAGTCGATTGTTTGCCTACTCCAGGTAGGTACATACCATATGGAAATGTCTTTGTTTAAAAAACATTTCAGGGAATATTACTAAGTTCATTGTGTGTGTGTAGTCTTTCACTGGTATATAATTAATCAGTTCAATTACTTAAAATTTTAAAAGGAATATTTAACACACTTACAGAACTTACCTTGTTTTGAATAGCACATGTATTTGTGGTAAGTTGTGTTAAATTTCAGTTTTACCAATCTTATGTCATTTAAAATATATTGGTTATATGGCCATTTAAAAGGATTAATGTGAATATTTTTTTAATATCTAAAAGAATACTTTATTAGGTTGTATTAACTATAGCAAATCTTTTAAGAGAAATATGCACATGGTTTTAAGTAGGCAGTTTTTTAAAATTATACTTCATATTATGCTATCTTAATAATATTGCCATGTTTTTGATCACAGCTAAATTAATATAACTTTAATAATAACTAACATTTATTAGTATGTAATATGTCAGGGATGATGCTAAGTGTTTTAGATATATTAGCTACATATTTTATTTATTCTGCATAGCAACTCTACTTACACATGGTAAGTCCTATTATTAGGACCACGTTACATAAAAGTAAACTAAGGCTTAATGTTGAAACAATTAAGATTAAACCCACCTCTGACTCCTTTTACCATTTAAGTAGAAAGGGCTTTTAGGTGATTAAATAGCATAATATGGCAAAAATATTTCAAAAAAGTCAAAAATACTAACAGTTTGTATCCATTATTGATTATAAGTGAAAATATGAAAATATGCTGTCAGGAATATTAAAAGTAGCAGAGTATCAATGTATAACTAGTTTTTTATAATATTTTTAAAAGAAATTTAATGAATTTTCTTTTGGATGTTGCATTATACATAAACATACACATATCTGGAAAATGAGCAGTATAGAAAAATGCTTTAGCAAGTACCTTGACAAAATGAAGATTTCTAATTTTTCAACACAAATTAGATGACTTTCATATGGAGGAAATTGTTTTGCTTTGCTCTTTCCTGAATATTATACATTGTTTTATATTTCATAACCGTATAGGAATCACTCAGGCCAGACGAAGCCGCATAACATATGAGAAAAGACACAAGAGGTGGAGCGGGTGGCAGGGTTCCAGGCCTAGTTTCATTCTGGAACAAATCGATTAATCATTCTGGTTCTCAGGTTTTTCATTATTAGAGGAGGCAGTTTGGGGGCTAATACAATTCCCTTTATAAAGATATTTTGTATTTGTGTCACCTTTTTGAACATTGCTTTTCCTACTACGGATTTATAACAAGTAAAAAGGACTGAACCTGTGCTGATTCTGTGGTATAACTCCACTCTTGAGAAAATCTTATAAACGTAGATTGTGGGCAAGTGATACAATTAATTGAACTCTCTGGTTCATATGTAGATGAATAAGAGTTGACTCTATACTGCAGAACTGTGCCCTATGAAAAGTATACATTAAATGGTTCAATTTTTGTGTTATGGCAATTATTCTGTAGAACTGTGTCTTTAAAAAGAAATACTTTAAGTATATGGATCTTTATGTTAAAAAGATTATTTTATTAAAATATTTATTATAGTGTGTTTTTCTCTACCTCGAGCTCTCATAGTCCATTAAAAGTCATCCAATTTTCTAAAGAAAAAGGATTATACATAATTGTTTTAAAAAACATTTTGTTTGCAGAAGTTAAGACAATTAACATTTTATTTAATACTTGTTTTCTTTTGTTATGGAATTAACCATTAATCTTGCTTTTGGTAAATAATATATAGCATGGTTTTGGCTTATTTTTATTATGAATAATTTTTTGGCTGCATTATGTCATATAGGTCTAGTCCTTTGTAAATATAGTTCCATTTAAAATCCATTTTATTATTGTTGTTCTATTCTATTTGATATCTATATTTTCCAATTTAATAGAATTAGTTTTTTCTATATCAGCTTATACTTACTGGTTATGACATGCTTATACAATATAGATAAAACCTTGCAAAGCCAAATTAAATGATTTAAATCACTAAATTTAAACAAATAATTTTTTAATACTTAGGTTTCTCAACATATGAAATACTAAAGATTGTTGGACCAGAATTATTTTCTCAATACTCTGTGCAATTTATTAAAAGCTTTTTTGACAAAATTTATATTAGGTTGATGAAACTTATAAGGCTTTTCTTTTACATTTTCTTCCTTCTATTCTGAATAGTTATAGCGTATGTAAAATAACAATTGCTCTGGTAGAATGCTAAAGCCATTTTTAAAGTCAGCATTCGTGTTTAAAGTCGGATTCTGTTCTTTTGTTTATTTATTGCTGCTTAACAAACCAGCTCAAAGTTTAGTGACTTCAGATAACAGCAGTTGTTTATTTTGCTTCTAGATCTGCAATTTGGGCATAGCTCAGGCAGACAGCTCTTCCTGTCTTCATGTTGTGTCAGTTAGAGTGGCTCAGTTAAGGGGTGGAGCTTTCAGCATCCACTTTAAAGATGGTTCACTCACATGACTGACAGTTGGTGCTGGCTGTCAGCGAAGAGCTCAGCCATGCTGTGGGCCAGAGGGCCTCAGCTCCACTTCTTGGAGCCCACTTCACAGCCTACTTGGGCTTTCTTACAACAGTGAATGTACTAGATAACAGGACATGCAGGCTTCCATTTCTTACGGTCTGGGTCGAGAAACTGACCCAGCATCATTTCTTCTATAAACTATAGGTGAAACAGTTATAATTTCAAGGACAGAGGACATGGACCCCTTCATTCAGTGGCAGGAGCATTAAAGAATTTTCGTGCTATGTTTTTAAATCCCCACATCTTGGGATGCCTGGGTGGCTCAGTCAGTTAAGCGTCTGCTTTTGGCTCAGGTCATGATCCCAGGGTCCTGGGATCGAGCCCCGCGTCAAGTTCCCTGCTCAGCGGAGAGCCTGCTTCCTCTCCCTCTGCTTGCTGCTCTGCCTACTTGTGCTCTCTCTCTATCTCTCTGTCAAATAAATAAATAAAATCTTTAAAAATGAATAAATAAATCCCCACATCTAACAAGTTTTGACCACACACAATGAATATGCCATTTCACAATTTCAAAAAAATACCTGTGTATGGGGAAATACTTCTTTTTAAGCCTTATTTCTGTGGTAGAGAGTTTTGTCTGAAATAAGCAAGTTTTTTAAAAATATACTTTTCATTATAAAAGTAATGTCAGTGTTGATAATTAGAAAGTATAAAAAGGCACACGTTATTCAAAATAAAAAGTTATTATCATTTTTATAAATATAAATAACATTCTTTGTACATGAATGCATTTAATGAATATAAACTCATTAAACATGCAAATAACACATGAAAACCTAGCCTTCACTAAAATTCTCCCCATAGAGTAGCTACTCTGCCTGTAATTTTGGATTTGTTCCTTATCCAGATGAAATCAGAAGATACATATTTTAAAATATAAGTTCTTTTCCACCCCTTATCTTTGATTTGTTGATTAATATTATCCTCCATGGAAAAGTATACATAAAAATGGTACATGGTTTACATAAGGCCTCAGACTCTTCTTTGAAAACTTGTAATAATTTTTGAAATTATTATATTTACTGTTTGAAAAAACTAATCTTACATAGAATCAGCTTCTGTAAGATATGTTGCTGATGCTCATTTCATCCTATCTATATGTCACAACCTGTCACCGTTTATAATCTCTGATTCAAGTGCCATCATCAAAGTTATCAGAATTAAATCTCTCACTCTGAGTAATACCAGAGATCCTGACTACGCTATTTCATTACCTGCTATGAATAAATTTCCAATCAGGAGCTGCCCATGTTTTAATTTTCTGTCTACTCGGCTGAACTGCCTTCTAGCTCTGCTAAATTACTAATGACAGTTCATAACAGAGATTGGGTTTGTCCTTACTCTAGTTGGTAAAGAGAACTTTCTGGCAAATCTGTCATCTGTAAGTTTCTGAAGTTTTTAGAGTTAAGAAATAATGGATACAATTCAGAGGTCTCAGTTTTAAATTCTGTTTTGCATAATTATCTGGCACTATGTAAATGCACTTGATAAAATAACAAGACAACTGCAGATTTGTTGAGTCTAAACAATTATTATACCTTAACTATTACTAAAGTTTCAAATGAGTACCTTTTCTTTGTTGAATATTTCTTTCAGAGGTAAGATATTGAATCTCAAAGGAGATAACATAGTAGAGCTAATGCTCATATTTTCCCTGAACCTTACATTTGGATACAAAGGTAGTATATTTATTCCATCAGCATGGGTTCCTGATGAAACAACTATTAGGTAGGAAGATACTCTACTGTTATCTTGAGTTACTAGAGTTCCTTCTAAAAACAAAAATAAATCCAGTTTGTTTTTTAAGGTCATAATCATCAATGGAATAAAATACTTCTTAGTACAGACACTATAATAATTGGGTTTTTAACCATGATAGGTCTTTTCCTTAAGTTAGAATGTGGAAGGAGATTCATGGGGGCCTTCCCTGTTTAGAGTGGATATTTGTATCTTAAGTGGTCTATGATATCATATGTTTTTTTCTTTTTTTAGTTTGTCAATATAGTAAATTCCATTTATTGATTTTTGAATGTTAGGCCGGTCTTGCATTCCTGGGATAAACCCTCATGAACATAGTTGCTAATATTCTAAACAAAATTTTAGCATATTTATATATGACATTTTATCATGACCAAATCAGTTCTTAATGATCAATCTTTTGTTTATTGTGCACTGATATATTAGCTAAGGAGTGATTAGCAAGATGTTTAAAAACTAAGCATCCAGGACATGAATAGAAACTTCTAAAATTATTATTTTAAAGTCATGTACTTTTCTGTGGTTTCTTAAAAGCAAAAAACCAAAAAGCACATATCATTGGACAAAATAATTTCACTTTTTTGCTGTAGTAGAAATGACCATGGGGCACCTGGGTGGCCCAGTCAGTTAAGCATCCGACTCTTGATTTCAGCTCAGGTCATGATCTCAGGGTCGTGAGAT